AATGTCCGAAAGACTGGATGCAACCGTTTTCGTTGGTTGAGCATCCAAGGCATTCTGCGTGCTGCTTGCTTGCACTTTGGGAAGTTGTGTAGCTTGTGGAATGTGTACACGGTCAGCATTAACAAGCGTCCAATTAAGTCTCCAATAATACATCATTCACTCACAAACTACAACATTTGTCTCTCTACTTTTGCTCTCTTGAACTTCAAGATGGAGAGTGAAGCGCCATTGTGTGTTAGAGGCCGGTGGCGGCGGCATCGCAGACAAGATGTTCCCTGGCTACAAGGAGACCTCGGATTGTACAGCATGAGTGGCCACTTGTTTTCTGGCGCCCGCGACGGTTTTTCCAACCGTACTTTGTCACCACAGTGTGATGAACAGGTCACGCCACAAGGTCAGATGTCAGACTATTGAAGGGCTATTGAAAGCACTGCATGATTGACTCGAAGAGGGTATTCTTGGCCAGGACAAGATTTGGGCAAAGCTACCGCAGGGTGTCAAGGAATACCAGGCGACTTGCATTTGAGCATGCATTTCTCTTTGCTATGTTCAACGCTTTGCAAATTAGCTATTGGTTTCCGAGCCTCCCGAGCTTGCCTGTAGCAGATTTTCTGACTTTGATTTCCGAGGTGAAGAGCGCCAATGACGCCTTTGAAAAACACATCAAGCAGCACCAGACATGGCAAGGCCACTCTATCATACCACCAAGTGGACCGGAGGTCTGCCCTATTGACGTGAACTTCTCAAGCCCGACTTATTGAGGTTGTTTGCTGATTCCGCACGCTACTAGGAGCAAAGGGCATCGCTACTAGGAGCAAGAAAGCTACTAGGGGCTCCTGGCCTTACTACTAGGAACAATGTTTGCTATTAGAAACAATAGATAGAGTCAGAGTTCCGTTTCTTCTTTGTTTGATGATTTCTTCAATGTTCGTCTACTCTACTACTTGTCTGAAAAAGAAACTTGCTGCTAGCTCGATGGATCCACTTCTCTCAACTAGCTGTGCCCAATTTAAGTCTCTTTGTTGTTTTCATTTCTTTCCTATCAAGGACTAAATCTTCTGAGTTTTGATTTTTAATCACATGAAGAGCATGTGGGCAACTTGATTTGTGTCGACTAAAGCGTGCATGTTGCTCAATGTGGAGCTTGCTTGAGGGTGCTCCGCGCTTGTTCTCCCCATCAGGCTATCTCTTGGCTTGGAAGGACCAGCGCATCGCGTGCTTTGCTGTTGTCTTCGAGTCATCTGCAGTGCATCGTCTTTCTTTCGCTCGAATGTTTCGTGAGATCATCCTGTGCAGAGATACAGGCAACACTAATTAGTTGACACGAAAGCAGTCTGGACACTTTGACATGTAAAAGTAAAAGTCTAAATTGTAGTGCTTCCTGTTTACTTTTGAGCCTATCTGCTCAACGCACCATCCTTCACTGGGCTCCACAGCCCCAAAGTCTTAAACAAGACGAGGACATGGAGGCTGGCTTTATGCCTTCACAGAAGTTCCGCAAGCCTGCAGTAGACTGGCGCAGGCTCAGTTCTCAGAAGTTCAGTTGAGATGGAGGATTACAAAACATATTCAACACTGTGCAAATTGCGACATCCATTTGTGTGGAGTTGGGGCAGGTGGCAGGTATGAAGAACATGTATTTTTGAAGCAATGTACAGTTGAGGCAGATGGAACGTGGAACGATGCACTACGGCCGATGGTCCTCTGCCTTGTTTTCGCAATGCATGAAAGTCGCCTCTGGCATTTGCAACTGGCTTGCTGGTTTGCTAAGTTGCTAGCCTAGAATAGATAATGTGGCAGACTTACCTGAGTCACACGAAGGGACGGGTCCAAATGAATCCCTTGGCATGACAGGTATGAGGGCCCCAACAACACGGACTACCGCCCAGGCAACACTCACGACCGTCTGACGGCGGATCCGCTCGGAGGCCCAGGAGCCACCTTCACAATAGGCTTAATAGATCTTAATAGCCCTAACCGAGTAGATTGGGAATTCTGCTGACCTTTCCTTTTCTTGCACAGTTCTCCTTTGAAAGCATTCAATTCAGGAAGACTATCTCAATGGCCCATTCTTGGTTCTGAAGCTGTCAGCTCTAAGGCGAGCCCCATTCACGGAGGCGGAGTGGGAAGAACGAAAGCAATACAGGCGCAGCCTAGCAGAGGGAGTGATCTGCAAATGCACATGTTGTTTCGAAACATGCTCTTTCCAAAGACTTTCCACAGTCGTTTTGATAAAGCTTCAAACATTTTAAACAAGTGTTTTTGTTTCGTTCAGGTCGTGGGATTTGGTGAAGTTCGGCTATGGGCTTCTGGCTCTCTTTCTTGGGCCGGAGCCACAGGTCTCCACATTCTCCCTAATTAGGAAAAGAGGATAAAAGAGGGGTAGAGATGGTGGAGAGTAGAAATATATATGTAGAAAAAGCATGCAGCATACCACACGGCCCAGGTGGCCCGGGGCTCCTAGCTTGGCATGTTCGGCAATCTAAGCCGAGGTACCGCGTGACCAACGAGTGGCCAGTGGTTTGGTGCGAGGAGAAGGCAGTGCAGTTTGTCGAGGGGCAACAAGACTCGTTATAATATGTGTTTCCGAAAGACTGGGGGAACTGGGTTGTGCTAGTTCCACATTTTGTTCTTTGCAAGAGCATAGCAGGAGAAGATGACGATGTGACGGCCAATGGGCTTTGCAGCTTCAATGGAAACTTATTTGTGAATCAAATATGCCAGATTTCAAGCCTACCTTTCATTCTCGTTACGAGGTGCATTTGTAGTCGTTAAATAGACAAGACATTGCAAGGAGAGAACATGTTGATGAACTTGAGTTTGATACTCCTATTCCTATTGATGGACTTTGCAAGACACCTTCCTGGTCGATGCACCATATACGTCGAGTCTCAATACAACCGCAACACTTCCTCTTGGAAGCAAGCTGACTCGTCCCGAGGCAATTGGATGAATTGGCACCTAGCATCGGTTTTCGGAGGACGGATTGACACTTCCACAAGACCGCAACAACTTTCTACGCAACACACATATATATATATATACAAGCCGTAGAAGAGGATTGCGAACACAGATGCTCAGTCCTTCATGGAACAACACTGTAACCACGTCCACACATTAGAAGCAGCGTTTGGCTTCATACATTTGCATAAACCGCAGGGCGCGGCTTTTTGACCAAGGCGCAAGATGTCATTAAAAAATTGGCAGGGGGATGAGAAGCTGAATATAGAATTGGAAAGACCAAGTTGAACATTTTTTCCCTACAAATGCGATATGGCATGGGTCGAAACAAAGCCGGTTGGCCTCCCGCCTACCATGAACGCTGTGTAGACGTGATTGTCGTAATTTTCGCCTTGGATTCCGCAGAACCAAAGACATGATTCGGAGACATGTTGGATACAGACGCCCTGTCAATTGAAGGACAAGGGCTTTATACAATCAGTGAGAAGCACCTTGCTGTGAAAGAAGGTATTGGGCATTCTGCTTGCGCGAAGTATTTAAACTGAAACAACCTTGGTGAAGCAGTGCCACTTTGTGCTGAAGTAAACATGCCTGCCACTCGATTTGGCGTCGCCTGAGGTTTGAAAGACCAGGTGGACTGAATCCCACGGAATGGACACACTGCTTCGCAGCAAAATCGGGTTGCAACATGAAACTCTCACATTCAGCACAACTACGCTACTAGTAAGCATTGGTTCCGTCGGGTCGCCCAGGCTGGGGAGCCAAAGCGCTACGCACGTCCAGGGTCGACCAAGAGCTTAGGCGAGCATTTGGGGAGCTTGTCTTGGACGTATTCAGTCCACTTGTCTTGCTCATATAGACTGCGCTCAAAAAGCCCTACTCAATAAATATAGATAAACGTAAACGTTTAGGGTTGGAGATGTGTTTTTAAGTCTCCGTTTAGAAGCGGGCCCCCAGCAGACTATGGTCTGATACAGCAAGGCAGCGCTAGATTGGCTCTGGATTTCTTCATAACAGGATAAGCAAGCAGGACAAAGAAACATGCAGAGAGCAGGAAAAAGAAGAAGCTCTTACATCCAAATCTTTTGAGTCAGCTCTTACATCCTTCCTATGTCGTCCTGAAGATTTCTGAGAACGAAAATGGGAAAGTCCAGCTGCAGCAGTAGCAGCAACGACAGCTCCAGCAGCTCAACAGGCCCCTGAAAAGGTCCGCGCTAGACACCTCTCACAGTTTTGGCAGTTGGCATGCCTTCATGTTTAACATCCCTGTGGTTTGAGTGTGGTTGGAGTTTAAAGGAGATTTAGAAGCGGGCCCCCATGGAATTGCGATGAGCGCACCATTTTGGGAAAAGACATTTTGGAAACCAACCATATCATCTGGCAAGAATTATTTTCAAGAAACGCTGGTGTTCGAGACTGGTGCCAATCGAAAGGTCCCTGTTGACAGTATCCTTGTGTCTGTCCTTTTTGCCAGATGCCGTGCAGCTTGCTGGAGAAGGGTACACCCCCGCCACAGCAGCGCTTCGATAGAGGTCTTGGCCAATGCATTTGGACCGAGACACTTACCAAGCACAGCAGCAAGAATATTCAGGATGATTGCAATTTTCTCTGCAGCGACCACACTAGCAGCTTCTGCATTCCGTAGGTTCGCACGAGCTTTCTACAAAAACCCTGAACTGTTCCTGGGCAGAGGTGCATTGAAGGGTAGGTTGGCGGCGAAACTTGGCAGTCTAGTCGCGCTGGATGGTTCTTGTGCAGGCATTTCATTCCTGCTCCAGTCTGCATGGTTTGCATGGTTTTGCTCAAGACATTTGACTAGTGACCAGTACTCAGCCACAGACAGCATTTTGAACATACGCTTTCTACCAGATGCAAGATCATTGACAAAGTTATGATCAAAACCATGTGAGACATGATGCAGACACATGGCCATTCCCGTGCAAGCCGAATTGCAGTTTACGCGAATATAAGTGAAGTCCTTGTTGGTTTGTAGCGCATTTTTGCATCAGATCAAAGCAGACCAGTGCATCATGTTTAAATCTAGCCGCAGTTGCAAGACTGTACTGTCGTATTTTCAGTCATGACGCGCAGAGCAGCCCCTGCATGTTTGATATCTTGGATGTGCTTGTTGAACTTCAGCATAGTAATTTCTGGATGATTGTCATTGCTGTCGTCGTTGTGACATGCTGTTGCGCTGGTCCTGTTGCTGTTGAATGACGCTGGCATCATGATGGAGCCCTTTCATCACCCAAGTCATCACCGCTGTTCATCACAAGACTTCATTCCTATAGTTTACACGCTTTGAAGCTTCAGCCCGGCCGGTCTGCCGGAGAATTGCCTTGTATGACTTGTATGGATATGCCTTATTATGCTCAATATTGCTTTATTTGATGCCGATAGATCTTTCTGAGAGCCAATTAATTTAGTGCACCGCACCTATATATTACTATTAGGACACTATATTGTATTGGGACACTTTATCTATTTTGGTCCTGGGAAAAGGCATCTGGACTTAGATGATTTACCACCTGCTTTTAGCAGCTCTATCCCCATGTTTGGTTTCGTGCACATTGCGTTCAGGACACCTTTCATTTTGTTGATGCTGCTCAATTTTCTATTGTTACCTGCATGCGCGTTCCAGGTGGGGCTCCCTTTTTTCCACCCTTGAACAATGTTTTTTTCACCCTCAAGATTCCTTTTTTCTCCACCCTTTGGAACATTTTTTCCACCCTTCCAAAACCTTTTATTTTCACCCTGCACCCTATCATTTTCACCCTGTAGCATGTTTCTTTCACCCTCTGAACCTTCTTTTTTCACCCTTTGAACCTTCTTTTTTCACCCTCGAACCTTTTTTTTTCACCCTCGACCCTTTCTTTTCAACCCTCCGCCGGTGAAGCAGGTAATGCCTGGAACCTGCACAGAGAACGATGTCACCTCCGGTGTGTTTCACACCGCTTGTCTGCACCTGCCAAACCCTTTGTTTTCACTTCAATAACTTCTTGTTACTAACCCTTCGGAACCCTCCGGAAATTGCGCAGAGACTGTCCGGAACGACAGGAACCGCCGGAAACCCGGGCGCCTCCGGAACGTGAGGCAGCGCAGGATCCATCCATCCATCCATCCATCCATCAACGGGGTGCCAACCAACCGACCAACCAACCAAGCAACAACGCAGCCAAGCCAACAAACCAACCAAGCAACCAACAAACCAAGCAAAGCCGCCACATAACTCCGTGTTTTCCCCAAGTGCTGTAGATACTAGAAATCCCGTGCGGGGGAGGCTTGGTTTGCATTGCGGGGGAGGCGCTGCGCCCTCCCCATTTACACAGCATCCATCCATCCATCCATGCATCCATCAACGGAGTGCCAACCAACCGACCAACAAACCACGCAACAACGTGGCCAAACCAACAACCCCACCAAGCAACCAACAAACCAAGCAACCAAAACCACCCATCCCGTAGCGCTGCGCCCTCCCCCGCACCCCCTCCCGCCTTTATTTACACAGCATCCATCCATCCATCCATCCATCCATCCATCCATCCATCCATCAACCAAGCACACAAACAGAAAAAATTGCATATCCATCAAGCGCTGTATCACGCAAGCACTCACTGCAAGCAAGCCAACAAACCAACACACTAAAAAATATCCTTTTTCTCCCTGTCCATGATCCATCCATCACTGTGTTTTCCCCAAATCCAAGCCACCAGCAAACCAATCAGCCAAACTGTGTTTCCCCCAAATGCTGTCGATACTTGCTTTGCATTGGTAGCCCACCAGACAACCAACAAACCAAGCAACCAAAACCACACAACCCTGTGTTTTCCCCAAAGGCTGTCGATACATTACAACAAGATAGCCAACCAACCAATACACCAAGCAAAGGAAGGAGGGTGAAAAAGAACGGGTCGAGGGTCAAAAAAGAAAGGGTAGAGGGTGAAAAAAGAAGGTTCGAGGGTGAGAACAGAAGGTTCAGAGGGTGAAAAAGAAAGGTGGAGGGTGGAAAAAATGGGGCGGGGTGAAAAAGAGATGGTTCAAGGGTGAAAAAAAGGCGCCCGTTCCAGGTGGGCATGTAAAAGCTATGTTATTACTTGATTGTTTGGTGGCTTTGTCCCGTGCCCTTTTGCTTGTGCTGAGCTTTGGTCAGCTTTGCGGGAGGATGCGCATGAACAGCATCGTTTCTTGACCCTTCAAAGCCAGGTCCGAAATGTCGACGTGGATGACTGGGATGACGGTTGGGGAGACGACTCTTGGGGGGGCGGCTGGGGAGGCCCGGCTCGACCAAGACAACACTATCGTTGAACTGTGAGCTCTCTCTAGATGCAGATTTCAGCGCGATACATCCTTTTTGTCAATATGCCCAGCTTGTGGAATTGGAATTTGGGTGCGTTTGTGCACCAAACAGGCGGTTGGGACGAGGCTCGCCCTCATAACTCCTGCATCCTGCGTTTGCATGAAGATCAATTCATTTCATTCATTCAACAGATGTTGCAAACCTTTTTGTACGTATCCAGGGCTACGCGAAGCCCAAGCCAAAGCCAAAGCCAAAGGCCAATGTGATTCCTGGCATGGCACCTGCCAAGGCCCGTTTTGTTTGGACATCACAACCTCCGGAAGATGTTTGTTTTTTCTTTAAGTTTCCAAAACATCTAGGAACCAAATGAATAGTGCGAGGGCTTCTTCATTGAAGGAGCCTGAGCTTTCCTTACTGGTTCCGAAAAACATCTCTTAATATATCTCTTATTTCTCTTATAGATTCTTAATATTATTAGATCATCGTTGTTTGTTTGTTTGTTGGTTGGTTTGTTTGTTTGTTTGTCTGTCTGTCTGTTTGTTGGTAGTTTGTCTGTCTGTCTGTTTGTTTGTTGGTTTGTTTGTTTGTTTGTCTGTCTGTTTGTTTGT